ATGACGGCCCCAGGGCTTCCCTCGTTAAAATGCTGTACGGTTTCGATGGTTAATGAAATACTCAGGATTTTTTAAACTACTTTTCGGTTACCGTTGGCATGCAGTGTATCGCTGCCAGGCACACAGCACAGCGACTGGGCACCGACAGGCCTCACTTGTGTGCCGGACACAGTGGTCTCCGTCGGGCGGGCTAAAAACTTTTTAGGGAAACAGGGTTCAGTGAGAAGGCTTCTGGGGGCGCGTGTGTGCGCGTGCGCGCATGTGTGCGTGTGTGTGCGTGTGTGTGCGCGAGCGCGCGTGTGTGCGTGCGTGTGTGTGCGCGTGCGCGCGTGTGTGCGTGTGTGTGCGCGTGCGTGCGCGTCATCCACCAAATTTTTATGCCGCCCAATTCCCCTTGGCTTTTCTATATGTAAATGTTTTAATTGCACATGCACGCAGGTAACCACTGTAATTATTTTGTGCCCTTTCGGTTTTTTTATGCCCGTATCAGAATATATAGATATATGCATGAATATCATTCACACGTGCATATTCCTACGTGTGTGATTATCATTGATCTATATTGTGTACGTATATCTACACTATAAATATATATCCTGTATATAAGTGCATCTGTAATATGAATGTATTTTAAAATATAAAATGTTTTATAAATATATAACATTTTAAAGATGTGATGTAAGCTATAATACCACATTTATGTATACACTATGACATAAATGTAATATAAATGTAATTGTATAATACATAATATATTGTTAAAATACATATTCACTATTATAATTATATATTTGTACAAGTGTAATACAAGTATTTTGCTTTTGCTTAAATATTCGTATTCTCATTTCCTCTATTTTTTATACAAAAGGTGGCACACTTTACCCACTGTTCTGTGCCTTCATTTCTTTCTACTCACCAGTATATCTCAGAGAGCCTCTCATATCACTACAAAGAGAAATTTTTTCGTATCACTACAAAGAACCGATTTTGAACAGCTGTTTCCATTTTGTTGCATGGTTGTGATCTAATTTATTTAACCTGTTCCTCACTGCTGGGCCACTTAGGTGATTTCAGGCTTTTGCTGAGTGCATAACCTTGACCTTCAGCAGTTCTGCTGGTGTGTACATTGTTGAGCTCAATCCCCTGAAGTGGAATTGCCGAGGCAAAGGGCAGGTGCGTGTCGTTTTGATAGATTTCTACATTGCCTTCCCTAGACATGTTGCATACTGGGCCCCCACCAGCGTCTGTGAGCATGCCTGCTTTCCCGCTATTATATTAGGCTTTTTAAAGTTTTCTAAAGCAAGGGCTGAGAGAAATGGTGTCTCAGGGTAGTTCTAGCTTACATTTCTCTCTCTCTTTTTAATCCTCACCTGAGTATATGCTTTTATTGATTTTAGGGAGGGAGGGGGGGGAGAGAGAGAGGCATCAATGTGAGACAGAAACATCAATTGGTTGCCTCCCATATGTGCCCTGACTGGGAATAGAAACTGTAATCAGTCAAGGCTACATTTCTCTTTTCCTGAGCAAGATAGAGCAAATCTTTCTATTTTTAGGAACCATTATATTTAACTAAAGCACATTTACTGAGGCCTCAAGATATATGAGGACGCTGTATAACTATAATGTAATGCCCCCTCCCCAAAGCCTTTTTAGGCAGGTAGTTATTATCAGCACCATTTTACAGATGACAAGACTGAGGCACGGAAGTGTTAAGCAACCAAGTAAATGGAGGCTCCAGAGGTTAACTGGTTGGCCCCCAGGAAGCACAGAACTGGCACTGCGAAGTCGAGGTTGGCAGGTGAAGTCAGGAGAAGGCTCAGACTCAAGTCTGTCCCTGACCATCCAGGGGCTCGGCCCAGGTGAGACAGGGAAGCCCTGGATAACCCAGGTCTGAGGCAGACCCCTGCCTTCCCCCTGGGGCACAGAATGAGTCCTGGCCTGGCTGCGGTGCACAGACATAGAAGCAAAGGCCCGCAGGAGCCAAGAACCCCTGCACTGATGAGTCTGACATCTTGGCCAGGGCTGGGTTCCTTTTCTTTCTTTTTCTTGCCTGATTGCAGTAGCATGTTAAAGAGATGTGTGTGAGAGTGGGAATCGAACTCACCTTTAGGTGAACCGGCGCTCAACAGAGCCACTTGGCCAAGGAGATACCACCATTCTGATTGCCAGGATCCTGTTTCCCTAGGGCCACCCAAGCTTTTCACAGTAGGAATAGGGGGAGGCCATGGTTTTGGCTGATATGTATTTGGCTGCAGGATCGAGGTGTTTTTAGATTCCCTTATACCTCAGGTCTAGACATTCTTTATAGTCTCTGCACTTGTCTCTGACAGCAGCTGTCAAGCTCTTCGCCCCAGGAACCAAATAATTACAGATAACTGACCACAGGCAATAATTAGATCTTTTACTGCCAGATGCCTTGGTCTTCTAGTTGCCTATTCCAAGACCCAATATTTAAAGGATTTTATTTTTTAAAATATGTCTTCATTGAATTCAGAGAGGAAGGGAGGAGAGATAGAAACATCAATGATGCAAGTCACTGACCGGCTGCCTCCTGCTGGGAATCGAACCTGCAACCCGGGCATGTGCCCTGACTGGGAATCCAACCTTGATCTCCTGTATCACAGGTTGATGCTCAACCGCTGAGCCATGCTGGCCGGGCACACTTTCTTTTTTTTAATCTTTGTTGTTGAGTATTACAAATGTCCCCCCTTTTGTTCCCTTGCCTTCCACCCCCGGGTTCCTGCCCCACCCCAGGCCTTCGCCACCCTGTTGTCTGTGTTCATGGGTGATGCACATGTGCATGTCAGTTCTTTGGTTCACCTCTTCCCTCCCTCTCTCCACCCCCTTCCCTGAGATCTGTCAGTCTGTTCCATGTTTCTAGCCCTCTGGTCCTATTTTGTCAGTTTATTGTATTCATTAGATTCCACATGAGTGAGATCCTGTGATGCTTGTCTTTCTCTGACTGGCTTATTTCACTCACTATAATACTCTTCAAGTCCCTTCATGCCGTCCCAAAGGGTAAGAGATCCTTCTTTACAGCTATATAGTATTCTATTGGGTACCAGGTTTTTTATCCATTTGTCTAAACTTTTCTGTCTTGAGTAGATTCCAGCCCAGCTGGGTGTGGCTCAGTGGTTGATTGTCAACCTAGGATCCAGGCGATCTGGGTTCTATTCCCAGTCAAGGGTGTGCAGGAGGCAGCCGATCGACTCTCTCATCATTGATGTTTCTATCTCTTTCTTTCCCTCTCTTTTCCTCTCTCTGAAATCAATACACATTTAAAAAAAAAACAGTAGATTCCAATCACGTGACATGCAGAGGATCAGAGGGATATTAAGTACATTACCATCCTTTGTGTCATGGAGTCAGGGACATTGGATATGGGGGCAACCCACAGCAGTGGCCCCAGTTAGCAACCTGGCTGAAAACCTCTGGTCATAATAGAATTACAGATTTTAAAATTACCTCCCAATTTACCTGCCGAGTTCCTGGTGGTGAGATCAGGCTTAAAGAAAAGGGAAATGACTCCTCAGGATAAACACTTTTTAACCCAGGGAAGATTTAGGAATACAAACTAAACCATGATAGCTTCATTTTTATGTTATAGGACCATTGTTATTTGAATCTCATATTTAAATAAGATTAAAAATTTTAATGCCAACTCAAGTAACTGAAATCTACTTGTGGTTATCAAGCTTTAAAAAGCTATTAAAAGTGTTTTAACTGTATAAGTAGTTAAAAATGTGGAATCACGCAGTATTTAAAAATCCCTTAGAATTGAAATATACAATACTTAAAACTGAAATAAGAGTTTTAAGGCAAACTTTAAGGCCTATGAAGGCATTAAGTTTTCTGATTTATAATTTTAATTCCAGACACTTAAAATGGACAAAAGAGACTGAGAAATATTTTATTTTTAACTTTATTTTTATTGTTGACACTATTACAGATAGATATAACAACCACAACCATATTAACCAAAAACCTGTGCACAGAAACAAGATGAAACAATGTATCAAGATGTTAACCACAGCCTCTGGGTGATGAAAATACGGGTGAGTTTCTCTACATTTCTGCACCTTCCAAATTTCTATAAGGAGCATGTTCTGTGTTTACAATGGAAACACATGTAATGAAGTGGGTCACCAAAACACTATGATAAAGACCATTCAAGGAAACCAAGACAGAATAGTTAACCTTAATCCCACAACCACACAACTATTTCTTAATTGTTTTCCCAATTTCTCCCCATCTTTGACTCTAAGCATACTTATCATTAACGCCCCAACAATCACAGACTGCTGTACAAACAGGTGTTAATAGGAGCTGTTAGGTGCTGGGAATATGGGTGAATTTCTTCTTTTCGGAATTCCCCAAATTTTGCTATGAGTATGTATTATATTTGTAATGGGAAAGTACATACATAAGATTTAATACCAAAACACCAAAGATCATCCAAGGAATTAGAGACAAAATATTTAACCATAATCCCACAACGACAACACAGTTTTAACGATTTTCCATACTTTTCCTCACTGCAGACTGGATGCACACACTCAACACTCACCACCAGCTGTGCATGGAAACAGATGGAGGAAACAGACCAAGATGTCCACAGTTGTTGGGTCTTGGGAATATGAGTGATTATTTTCCTTTCTAAATTACTGTACTTTCCAATTTTTTTCTCTGGGTATGTATTATGCTTGTAACGTAAACACACATAATAAACTTTGTTTCCAGAACACTATTAAAAAGGAACGTTAGAAAACATTAAGATGAAGGTGTTTAACCGTAATTCCACAAAGATAACATTAACAGGAACTTTGAATACACCTTTTGACAGTTAGAATCATAAACCTGTGCACAGAAACAAGAAACAATATACTAAAGAGTGTTTCTGTCTTTGGATGGTGGGAATATGGGATTTTCTTCCTCCACTTTTATTTTCCAAGTGTCTGATGAGTTCAAATTATGTTCACAGTGGAGACATGACTATAGACTTTTTAGTAACACTACCATAAAGATCTCAAGAAATTTAAGAAAAATAATGCTCAGCTATAAGCCTACACCACCACAACAGCTGCTGACTATAAGCCTACATTTTAAACAGCTATAATTGTAGTATAAATATAATTCTGTGTCCTGCTTTTTCCACTTAATATTTTGTAAATATATTTCCACATCACTACATAATTCTTCATGATTATCATTTTTAAACAGCTGCGTAGGAATCACAGGTGCTCACTTAATCATCCTCCTACCATTTGGCATTGAAGTCATTTCTAATTTTTCACTAACACAAGGTTGGAACAGACACCCTGACATTTGGCAAGCTGCTTTCCAAGAGGGTTCTACCAATTGATGCTGCCAAGAGTGATGAATCGGAGTTCACCCCAACATCAGCAGTGGCTCCCTCCTCACGGGCCCTGCTCAGATACAGTGCCTCGCTGCCCCCATTTTCCCGGATGTCTGTTCCAACCTCTGGTCTTTCCATGCAGCTGGCCCTCACCTACACCATGCCACCCAAATGGCCCTTCTAAACTACCCAGGACATATTTTCAGTGACCTGGCCTTGCGATCCACTCCGGGAGTTTCCCACTGTCTGCTTCCTCCCCCTCCTAGGCCTGCTGCTGTGTTAGGGCTCCTTTCTTTGGCTTACTTGATTCTGCTCCATGCTCTCAGCCCAACCACCTCCTGGACTTTGGCATTCCCAGCAGCTGACACACTCTCCTCCAGTCCTAACCACACAGATCTAGGAGAGTGAGAGTTGGGCTCATTCCCCAAGACAATATTGTCATTTTCTTTCTCAAATGATCTGTTCTTATCTTTTGCTCACTTCTACAGATCCACTTTTTAAAATTTTTTTTAATTTTAAAATTATTTTTCCAGGCAACTCAAAGTAAAAAGAAAATGTCTCAATAGTCATTATGCAAGGGGAGGGGAAGCAAGAGGAGCACAGGTGTTCCACAGAACAAGACAGGAAACCGCAAGCTATGAGGTCGATCTGTAATTAATGGAAAACTGAGGCAACCAGACCAACGCGACTCTAACAGATAGCTCAGAAATACTTAGGAGGGCTGAGCTGAGAGGAAAGGACAGATGGTAACGAAACAAATTAAGGCTGCTGGGGAACCTGAGTCCATATTAAGCCTGGGTTGACTGTAAAGAAAGCTTTTCTTTTTTTGAAACGCAAGTTAGACATGGGGTTGAGGGTCAGGTGACAAGAATTAAGTTCAGCAATAGAAAGCTCTAACGATACTAGCTCCTGGGCGCCCAGGTGCAAACTACTTGTGGCAGTACATACTAATGAAGCCACGTTGCTACTTAAGGCAGGAAACACACACAAAGTGATGAAAGTTGTCACCTGCACCCTTATTTACAACATGAGAGCCTCTCCCTGCGGTTCTCAACCTTCATTAGGCACTGCCGTGATCTAGTGATGGTTGCAACCCACTCTTTTAAAGGCAAAGAAATAAGATTTACAGGGAAAAGCTTCAGCTTTTGTGAATTCACTACTGAACACACATTAAGTTGGTTAAACAAACAACAAAAAAAGTGTATTATTTCTGCATGAGAATCACTGCAAGGTGCAATATGGCAACGGATCAACTTGGGTCACAAAGGTCAATCCACATATTGAAGAGGCTTATACAGCCTTAGGCTCCAAAGTGTTGGTGTAGACAAGACACTGAAAAGGAAGCTCAAAGAACTTCTCTTTCCAAACAGCAGAGTAGGAGACACTTTATCTTCCATGCCCACACCTTTACAGGGATATTTAAGAGTCAGGGACAACACACAGTTACTCAAAAAGATGCCAAAGGGATTAAAATAATGCACAATAAATCTTTTACAGGACCTACACTGCTTACAAATATATTCTAATTTGGTGCTCATATTCTCTTCCAAAAAAAAAAGTCAAAAGTGTACCAAGAAGGTACAGTAAACTGTGACTATGCATCATTAAATCTAAGTGTGTGTGATTACTGTCTGCTATGCTTTGCTAGTTTACATACATCTCAGGAAAATTATCTATAGGTTACTGAAGTGTCCCTTACAGGTGGCTGGGGCTATTCTGCCATCTCAGGATCCCCTGGGGCTTTCCCTCGATAGGATTACTCGATCGGATTCCTGGGGTGAAAGGGAAGGATGTGCTGTGGCTTCCCCGCACGCACACTGGTGCACGATGGGGGAGTTAAGACCGACGGAACCTCCACCACCTTGTTCCTTTCCAGTCCAAATTGTCTCAGGTTAAAAGTCAGTATGTATATGCCAAGGTAAGTTTCCTTCTGACATTATTATGGATTGGCATGAATTCTCTGGGAGGGTCAGGTTCCAACCTTTACACTTGTGTTCTCAGCCAGTATGGGTATTCTGGTGTCTAGCGAGGGACAGGCGGTCACTGAAGAGCTGCCCACAGACATCACACTTGAAGTACTTGTCGTCGGCCCTGTCGTCGTCACTAGTGCTGGTGCTGGCATGTCCAGTGTAGTGTGAGCTTTCCCCATACACATTTCCAGGCTCAAATATTATTACCCTGGCATGGGTCTTCAGGTGCTCCCCGTAGGCTGAGTTGGCAGTGAAGGTTTCTCCGCACTCCCTGCAGTCATAGTACGGCTCTTCAACCTGAATCTCATGCTCATCTCCCTCTTCCTCAGGGTCTTCGATCCCTGCACCATCAGGCTCGTCAGCATCTCCCTCTGGCTCTTCAGCCTTTCCCTCTGGCTCTTCAGCTCTTTCTTCAGGGTCTTCAATCCCTGCACCGTCTGGCTCATCAGCATCCCCATTGGGCTGTTCAGCCTCCCCGTTGGGCTGTTCGGCCTCCCCATTTGGCTCTGCGGCCTCCCCATCTGGCCCTTCAGCCTCTCCATTGGGCTCAGCGGCCTCCACGTTGGGCTCAGCAGCCTCCACCTCCGGCTCTGCGGCCTCCACCTCCGGCTCAGCAGCCTCTACATTTGACCCCTGGATTCGCAGAACCTCTCGTGGAACAAGAACATTGGCTTCAACTTCCTGGGCTGCTGCCTCTTCCTCTTCAACGTGAAACTTCTGATGCTTAGTGAGAACTGTGTTATGAATGAAGGACTTCCCACAGTCCTTGCACTCAAAGAAAGGAGAATCTCCTTTGGGGGGCTCAGTAAGAAATGAGGTGTGAACAAAGGAAGCCCCATAATCGTAGGGCTCATCATCCTTCTCATGAATCCTCATGTGGTCCCTCAGGTCTGAGGGAGTGAGGAAGGACTCGCCACAAGCTTCACATTCATAGTGCTTCTCTTCCGTCTGACTTCTCTGCAACTCAGTGAGGGCTAAGCCTGCGCTGACAGCGCCCCCACTTCTCTGGCCCTGTTCCAGTGAATCTTCTCTCATGTGAAGTGCCAGATGCTCATTAAAGACAGAACCATGAATGAAGTCTTGTCCGCACAGATGGCACTGAAGATACATCCCTGTAGAAGGATTCTTCTGTGGGGCGTGAAATCTCTGTGGGTTAATGACAAAAGGATGCATAAAAGGCTCATCATACCTCCGATGGCCATAATATGGATCTTGCTCATGGACTTTCTGATGCTCAAAAAGGAATGAGCTATGAACAAAAGATTCCCCACAGGCTGGGCATTCAAAGAGCTGCTCTCCAGTGTTATCTCTCTGATATTCGCTGATGGAATGGGTGTGAATTACAGAATGTGTGTACTCACGAGTGTCGATGAGATACTCTCTGCCATGAACTTTCTGATGATCCTTAAGGTCTGCTCGATCGGCAAAGCCCAGACCACAGTCCTTACAGCCATAGATTGAGTCCTCAGCATCCTCCTCAGAATCCGCCTCATCTTGCTCAGGCTCTTCCTGCTCAGGCCTGTCAAGGCCTGCACCCTGAATAACAGAGCTCCCATGGAACTCATCTTGGATATAGATTTTCTGATGTGCACCAAGGTCTTCAATGGTAGCAAAGCATTGCCCACAGTCCTTACATTCTTGCTGCACTGGCTGTTGAGCATAACTTGTCTGAGCTGGCTGTTGAGCGTAACTAGTCTGGGCTGGCTGTTGAGCGTAACTAGTCTGGGCTGGCTGTTGAGCGTAACTTGTCTGGGCTGGCTGTTGAGCGTAACTAGTCTGGGCTGGCTGTTGAGCGTAACTAGTCTGGGCTGGCTGTTGAGCGTTACTTGTCTGGGCTGGCTGTTGAGCGTTACTTGTGCGGGCTGGCTGTTGAGCGTTACTTGTTCGGGTTGGCTGTTGAGCGTAACTTGTCTGAGCTGGCTGTTGAAAACAAGTCATCCCCACTGTCTCTTGAGAGTAATTCCTCTGCACTGGCTCTTCAACATAACTCATCTGCACTAGCTCATCAATAAAACTCGAATGCACTGGCTGTTGAATGCAAGTCATCCCCTCTGGCTCTTGAATGCAAGTCATCTTCACTGGCTCTTTAGCATAACTTGTGTGCGCTGGCTCTTGAATGCAAGTCATCCCCACTGGCTCTTGAGCGTAACTCGTCTGTGCTGGCTCTTCAACGTAACTCATCTGCATTAGCTCCTCAACAAAACTCATCTGCACTGGCTGTTGAATGCAAGTCATCCCCTCTGGCTCTTGAGCATAACTCGCCTGTGCTGGCTGCTCAGTGTAGCTTGTATGAGGGTCAGTGGAGGCTAAGCTGCGAATAACAGATAGTTCGTAGTTTTTGCTTCCAAAAGGCTTCTTTCTGTGGTGAATCTTCTGATGCTCAGTGAGGTCAGAGCTACGAACAAAGGACTCTCCACACTCTGGACATTCATAGAATTTCTCTCTAGGGCGAAATGTCTGAGGTTCACCAAAGCGTAGGGAGTGAATCACTGAGGTCTCGCAATTCCTGCGCTCAATGTTTTTCTTCTTAGCACGGGCCTTCTGATGTTCAGGGGCATTTGAGGTGGAAACAGATGATTGGCCATCCTTCTTAGACTCACTGGCTCCCTCTCCAGCAAGACTTCTTAGCGGTTTGGTACTGGATGCACTGCATATAACAGAGTCCTTGTAGCTGTTCTTACCCTCTTCAGTAGGAGTGGCCCTGGCAGTTTTCTGTAGCTTATCATGAAGGTCTGGGATGTAAATGGAGGATTCTCCCTTCTCATTCCATTCATTCCCACTGGGGCTTTTGGGAACTTTGAAAGTGGCTAAGCTATGGATAACAGACCTCTCATTTTTCTTCCCTTCAGCGGTCTTCTCTCCAGCATGGACATTCTGTTCAGTAACATCTGAGCTCTGAGTGGTAGACTCTGCAATCACATTTGGTTTATTGGACCCCACTGTATGACACTTCTGAGCTTCAGCTGAGGATAAGCTATGGATAACAGACCTCTCATTTGCTTTCCTCTCAAGGACATTTTCTTCAGTGGGAAGTTTCTGGCTGTCATCAGGATCAGGGTTAGAGCTAATGGTGAACGGCTTCTCGTCCTCATTTTCAGGTGGCCTGGTTATGGTGTGACTCTTCCGAGACTCAGTAAAGGGCCCACTATGAATGACAGACTTCCCATACCCCCTGCTTTCATAGAGGATCTTTCGAGAATAAACTTTGTGATGCTCACTGAGGTCTGAACTTGGCCTAAAAGCACCCCTACCATCTTTAAAGTCATAGAGCTTCCCCTTTGAGTAAACCTTCTGTTGCCTTTTAAGGTACTGACCAGGAATAAAGGTTTCCTCACATACTTTACCCTTGCTTTCAAACAGGTTTGCTCTAGTGTGAATCTTCTGATGTTCTTTCAGAGATAAGCTGTGACGGAAGGTCTCCCCACACACCTTACATTCATACATTTTCTCTTTAGCAAACATTTTATGAAGCTCATTAAAGGCTGGGCTGGGCTTAAAGGCATCCCCCTGTTCATCATCTTTGTCACCTCTCCCATGGGTTTTCTTCTGGTGCTCAATCAGGGCAGAACTATAAAGGAAGGTCTCCTTACACACCTTACACTGGTAGAATTTATCTTTCCCATATATTTTCTGAAGCTCACTGAAAGTGGGGCTAGGCATGAAGGGCTCCTCATATTCCTCATCATTACATTCAGTGAGAGACTGTCTAGAGTGAATTTTACCATGTTCAGCGAGAGAGGAACTCTTATCGAAGGTTTCCCCACACTCCTTACACTCAAAGCCTTTCCCTTGTGCCAGACTTTTCCGAACCTCACTGACAGCCACACTACGAATAAAGGATTCACCATACTCATAGAGATTCTCCCTAGTGTGCATGATCTGATGTTCGACAAACTCAGAAATCACACTGAAAGCCCTCCCACACTCATCACACACATAGGGCATTGCCCCCAAATCAAGTAGCTGTGACTCGGCGGAGGGGGAGCTAAGGCTGCTCATGCTCACGGCTTTTCTCATTCCACTACGTTCAAAGGGTCTCTTGCGTGGACAGCCTCTCTGATCCTGAATGGAGCCCTTCCCATCTGTGTCAAACTGATAGCGCCTTTTTCTTTCAAGAACTCTCTTTTTGGAAACAAGGTTTGAGTTACAATGAAGGCCTCCCCCAAAGGCATTCCCTCCATAGCCCCTCTCCTGAATCACTGACTCTCTCCTGTTGAAGGACACTTCTTTCCAATCACGGTCTGGCCTTCTGGGGAACCTCCGTAATCGGTCATTAGATTCCCTCACCCTCCCGGATTTGGAGTTTCTTGAAACATCCTTGATGAATTTTTCCATGATCATCCCGTGGGATGACTCATCTTCACAAATTCCCCGGCGATGGGTTGACTTTTTGGCTTCAGGCATAGTTTTCAAGCCTGAAAAGAAACACCAAATGTAAATACTCCCTAGTTCCTGTGCAAAATAACAGGTCTTCCATGGTGGTGGTGTGAATATAAACTGTTAAAGGTTTACCAGTACAGCAGGTCCTCGAGTAGTATCATTTTGTTCAATGTCGTTTCATTTTAACACTGATGAAATGCCATAAGAAGTTAACTATTTATATCAATTAGCCTATGGTAAAACTGGTTTCATCAGACGTTTCATGTAAAGTCGCAGAACCCATGGACATTAAGTGAGGACTCATTGTATATATATAGTGCCCATCTCATCTATTAAAGTGGCCACTACCCATGATCTGCCTAGTGCTTACCTCGACTGGTGCTGGGGTAGGCACTTCTCTTTGACCGTGAATGGCCTTGTGTCATGTGGGAGTGGCCATCATCTTCGGCAAGCTGAACCCCTGTTCACAATAATACAACAGCTCATACTCAAGTTGGGGACCAAGACTCATCACCATAAACTGATGTCTTTCTCTCAGCCACTAAGTATGAAGTAGCCCATAGCCAAACCTTTGGATGTCTCCTACTTGCAGTCTCATCTCCTTAGTACCATTCCTTAGCTCATTCAATTCTGAATTTTAATCAATCTTCCTGACTCCACCTACAAATTTGTACAGAGACCTTCCCGTGTCCCTAAATTCAGTGCATCCTTTTGGGTTTCACCTTCTCATAACCACCTCCTAAACCTTAATATCCTTTTTCAATGGCCTCCAGGATTTTCCTCCTACCTCTTGACTCTCTTTCCCCACCACTCTGCAAACACTGGAGGTCCTCAGGGCTCTACTACCTTACACAGCACTCTCAGCACAGCTCTGTCTTCATAGCACTAGTCAACTGCCTGCTACGACCCAGCTAGGTGTCTTCTAGGAGAGTCTAAACTGGAACTCGGGGTACCATTATTCTAAGTGTGCATTTTAAAATCTCTGCTGTCATTACTCTATAAAAAGTATCAGCTCTTGTGGCAGGAGCCATCTCCTTGTTCCCCCCACCCTGTACAATATGGTATTCACCCAGAACAAGAGTAGTTTCTTAAAAACATAAATCTCTTCATTTACTTTTCTGCTTAAGATCTTTCAAAGGCTTTTTATTACCCTTGAAGTCCAGATATATTAACATGGACTCTAATACCCTGCAATTGGAAAGAATAAGGTGACAGTGCTCCACTGACGAGAGCAGCAGCAGCTTACCCAGCGAAAGCAGCTTCCTGTAGTTCTCCATGTTGTCCTGAATTGAGTTCTGGGTCTTCCTGTCCCTGGTGAAATCCAACACGTCCTGGTATGTCACTGTATCCTAAAACAGCAAACAAAGGCCTCTCAATGGAGTCTGTCCCCATGGCATCCAGAAAGGAATGCTGGCGACATGGGAGCAACACACACACAGAGGTATGAGGAGTGCTCACAGCGCTTGGGGTTCTGAGTGGTCCAAGTCAAATTTTACTAGGGACCTACTTTGTACCTACCTTGTTGCTATACTCTGAGGAAGATCCAAAAGACGTATGACACACATTCCTTGCCCTCATGCAGCTTATAATTTGGTTGGAGAGAAAAGACTCATGAAAGAATTAGAGAACAGTAAACAGTAAGGTGGGTACAGATCATCAGTGCTCAACGGGCTCAGGAGAGGGACAGTTCAGGGTGGGCTGGACCAGCGAGTAACGCTTTTGTAGAGAGCCTTGGGTGGGGCCTTCAGGGGTGGGCAGGATTTTAACACTGGAGGGGCGGGGCTGGTAGGAAAGCTTCAACAGGCTAAGTATCAACTATGCATGGCATACACAGGGAACAGAAAGAAAATGTATTTCAGCAGACACCTGGTCAGACGCATGACTTAAGCCTACCTCCTCCATCCCGCCCCACCCCACCTCACCTTCTGGCCCCCGCCCCGTGTCTTGCACACACATGCTTTGTACAACTTGGCTACACTGTGGGCTACTCTAGGTGTACAGAGGTTCCAAATAACCCAGGAGTAACTTTAAGCACTGAGTGCTTTCATTTCATAGCTGCCTTTTCTATTTCAATGGATACTGTCCTAGAAAGAATTTTTAAGTTCCCTGCATTACTCAGGCAAGTGTTCTATGCAGAATCTTCCAAAACCTTTCCTTACTGCTGCACTAGAACATGACTGCTTTCAGAGGGTGGTGGTCCTGGGAAGTACAGGTTTCAGAGCCAGAGAAAACTAGGGTTAAAAGAGGATTGCAGCATTTCTGAGCCATGCAACCTTGGGATCAGAAATCTTTCTGAGTCTCAGGTTCATCTGTAAAATGGAGAGAAGGGCATCAGCCCACCTTGCAGTATTGTGGGTGAGGCTGTCCTGCAATGTGACGTGTGGTTTAAATATTAGGAAAAATTATGTAAACAAAACATATTATTATTACTCCAAACTTCTACGTAAAATACTTTGATGATTGATTACAGTTTCATTGCTGGAAAGTAGCATGGACATTATAGCCCCATGGAAATGCAGCAAAAAACCTGTTTGCACAATTAGGTACATCTCTACTGAGAAAGATAAATAAGCACATGCACTGGGTTTTAGGAGGACAGCAACTGTCCATGTCCAGTAATTAAACAGCAGAAACCACCAAAACTAAGCAGAGCTTCAAAAATAAAACTCTAGGTTGGGGTGAGAACTTTTAGGACAACAAACGAGCTATAAAAGCTCAGGAGACATTGCAAAATCAGTATAGCTAAGTCGCATCACTTGATCAGATAGCAAGGTTGAGAGCGAGAGCTCCGCTGTGCTCAGGTTTGCAACATCGGTGCTTCCTCAGGTCTCAGCACTGGTTTGTTACCATAAAGATGCATCTGTGAGACAGGGAGGAGACCAGCGCTCCTAGTGGGGGGCTGGCAGAGAACAGATGAGGTCAAGAACTCGGGGGGCTGAAGGAGAAGGGTCACCGTCTCTGGTGTTGACAGACCCCAAGGGCAATGGCAAAAGGGAAGGAGCATTTTTCCTCTTTGTCTCCATTTGCCTGGCTTGAGTAAAATAAATGTACATTAGACTTTGAATGACAATGTTCCTATGAAAAAAAACCTGATGCTTCGGTCTAAAACTGTTCATCTATCACAAGTGGGCAGCTCTGAAGCAGTTGCTCGCTCTGCATTTGTAATCAACAAGGGTACCAAGAGCTGCACAAGCCGCACTCAAGTCCTCCCTGAATGGATGCAATCTGGAGAGCACCATTTCAATTTCACCTGACCCACACACATGGAACATTAAGAGATTTACACACTGTGCTAAAAGATGATGAGAAATTCCTGTTCTGTACACCCCCAAAGTGTAGTTTAAATCTTCGGTAGCTGCTATCTCTAGCACACTGAGTTAGCAGGAATCAGGGGCTTTCAGATTTCTGGACTACGCAGGCATGGGGACAATTTCTTAGTGTCATGCAGGGCATCTGAAGAGCAGCCCAAGACAAAACCCAACTATCACCTTCATTTCCATAAAAGAGTATTTTAACACCCCCAAAATAAAGACATTTGCATTTCCCATTTCCCCACAGATGACTGAAAACTCTGTCACCGGCTCACAGAAAAGTCAGAAACCACTGAATGGCCTTCACAGGTAGCACATGTGTACCTGGGGAGGCTTCTTTTTCAAAACCGAGCTTAAGGGAATTTCTACAATTAATATCTTTATGTGGATCCCTAAAATTCTGGTCAGTCTGGTTTCTCTGAGTAAGAAATCAAAACCTGTGACAAGCTAAGTGCACTGCCAACAGAGGGTACTTCCAGGAGGCAGACGTGACCCACACTGAGGCTGGAGGGCGTGAGACAGACCCAAGCGCTTTGCTGGGCTCCAGGGCACAGGGCATCAGGAATCAGGCCAGCCCACGCTTACAGCCAATCTAGCCTGTGTCTGGTTCCTACCTGAAGGCCTCTACCTGGGCTCCCCTCACCCGGCGCTTCATCTGGCCAAGAGCTTCCCATCCTTCACATGCAGAGTGCTCCTGCCTTCAAAACATTTCCTTTCAAATCCAAATTGAGACCCTTGTGCCAATTTCTCATTAACTTTCTTTTCTGAGAGCACTCTGACCAATCAGCAGTCACAGACACTATTTACCTGGAGATTTGTGCTGTTATGAGACTGAAAGCCTCCAGGGCAAGGACCCTGTCTTGCTCACCCCTATACTCCCCAGGGCTGACCTAGGCAGGTGCTGAAATGTGAAAGGAGATGCGGGCTGTGCACTGGGCTCCTTCTTCCTTTCAAAGCCCTGTCGGTGCTATGGCCCTTCTCCACACTGCCGAGTCACATGTGACCGACCTTCCTTCCTCTCTAAAGGTCAGTTCAGCTCAAATCCGATGTCCTTTTCCCATCACCAATTTCCCTAGCACACTGCCTCTTACCACGACTGCTCGCATCAAGCATATGCCTGCCATGTGCCAGGCACTGTACTAGGCAATTCACGTGCATGTATGAAACTCGCTCATTCCTCACAGCGGCCCTGGGGAGGCCATCACTGCACCCATTTTACAGATGAGGGAACTGAGGTTCAGCTTAGTTAGGTAACTGATCCAAGGCCACACAGCTAGCAAGTGGCAGAGCTGAACTTCAAACCCAGCTCTGGTCAGCTCCAGAGCCTCTGCTCTCTCTTGCCAGTCTGCTCTATGGACTTGCAACTCCCCTGGCTTCCTAATGAGGGCAGGAAGTTCTGCAGCTTCACTCTGGGGTAAGCCAGCATGACCAACCCACTGACACAAATGAGTGCTGAGTGGGAAAGAGTCCCTCTAACTACACTGATGTGTCATGAAATAGGTAGGAGTAACCCTGGCCACTCGTCACCTCTGGAGGCAGGCCTGGGATCCTTTCAGGAGTAACTGGGGCTCCTGAAAGGAGGGATTTTAGGGGGCAAATGAACACACACATCCTCTCTTGGGAGAGAAAGGCACCTCTGCCATGAAACAAAGACGGCCTTTCCAGGAAGAGAGGAACTGAAGCATACCTCACACTCCATCATGAAGCTCCTACGTCTGCGCTCTCTTTCCATGGCAAAAGCTTTATCCATCACAGGAAGGGAAAGATCCCGGTGAGGAAATCCTGGGGAGAGAGGTACCATGAAGGAAAAGGCCATGGCCAGCCTCGCGAGTACATCGGGGAACAGATTGGAACGCAGGACTTACTGCCTCTGAGACTTCTGTTGTACGGCCAGCGCTCTCGGAGCCCAAGTTCCCTGCTTCTGCCCCTCCGCTCACGCTCCTGCATCCGGGCTCGCTCCCAGGCCCGGCCCCAGTCCCAGGCTCGGTCCCAGGCTCGATCCCAGGCTCGCTCCCAGGCTCGGTCTCGATCCCGGTCCCAGTCCTGGTCCCAGTCTCGGTCATGACCCCAATCCCGGTCTCGGTCTCGTTCCCAGTCCTGGTCCCAGTCCCGGTCCCGGTCCCGGTCTCCTGAGAAAGCCAGACATTGGAGGCATGAACACAGCACTCTGACACACCTGTTTTCCTCCATGTGCACCCCCCCTTCAGACAGGAGCATGATCCCTGTTCCTACCTTGAGGAAACAGATCCCAAATCAAGGTTTCCAGCCACCCAAGGGCGATTGTGACTATTCCCAACACCTTAGATGTAGGACAGTATCTAAAGGCTTCTCCTAAGTGGGAGGCTTGCTTTAAAGCAAGTTCCAACCCTTAGTTTAGATGCTTGGCCCCCCCCTTCAGACACTGCTGCTGGTTTTCTGCTTCCTACTAAGGCAAGTCCACACAACCAGTAGGATGGACGCCAGCCCCTCTACTGCCTGGCTTACCCTGGCCTCTCTAATGTGCACGTTCCTCTACTTACAAAGCACATACCCTCCCCAAGAGCAATGTTCCTTTTAAAAGTTCACTGAGGAAGCTTTAACAAGTGAAATAGCTTTAGAGGCAAAGGTGTGATGAGCTCTGCTCCTCCTGGGAAGGCTATGGACACCACTTGAAAGAGCCTACTGCAAATTTCCAACAGTGAGTGCTTCCGTCGTTAAAAACATATGCATTGTATTTTGCTCTGTAAACTAATGTCTACTTTGATGTAAAACTGTCTCATCTGTGATCAATTAACCTCGTCTCACTCAGGTCTCTGAGTAGCAGCTGCTGCCCTGGGGGAAGGTCTCGATACACACTGAGCGCCTGCACACAATGGGCACACTGGGCTGAAGTTTGGCAACACGCGCCACGGGTGGCATAACCTGACTGGTTACTCACTGTAGAAATAGGCGGCGTGTGGCGGGGGGGACTCTGCCCCCATCCGGCTCATGCTGTCTTCGCTCTGGATGTCACTGCAGTTGTCTGAGAGGACACCAGACATTAAGTTAGTGCTTGGCCATTTCCTGCCTATTCTCTCACATTTCCCCACATAATCACGTGGTCTATCCTGCCCCCCAGCGCACAATCCCACCTCCATGAGAAGCTGGAGTGTTCCAGGCCTATCGCGCCTTAGTTCCCTGCCACTCTGGGAATGTGGCTGTGTTCGCTCCTACTTCACCCCCAACAACCGCAGCCACGTATGACTTCCTGGGGCACCACACCCTTAGGTCTACAAAAGGGAACTGGAGCCAGGGCATGAGGCCTGTGCAGGCTCCTCATGGAGCCCCTGACCTGAAGTGTCCTCTCTCTCTCAGGTGGTGTTGGGGGTTCTTGACTGGGGTGATTCTGCTCCCCTGGGACAGTAGGCACGTCACAGGTTTGGTTGTCACAGCTGGGGGAGAGGTGCAACTGGAATCTTGTGGGTGGAGAGAAGCGGGTGCCACCACACATCCTATGACAGGACAGCCCTCCCACAGAGAATGGCGTGGCCCCACATCTGCAGTGCTGAGGCTCAGCAGCCCTGGGAGCCACAGCCTCCATCATCCTCAGTCTCACCTTCTGGCTCATACATCTCCTTGTAAGTTTCCAGCAGAGCAACAAGCTTCTCACAGGTCTGTGGCCTTCTGGCTTGCACCCAAGGCTTGACCCTTTCTGGGAGGATGGTCAGGTACTGCTCAAGGACCAAGAGCTCAACAATCTCCTCCTTGGTGTGAGTCTCCGGCTGCAACCAGTCAAGGCAGAGGTTTCGGAGTTTGATCAGGGTCTTCCGAGGCCCAACAAATTCCACGTAGAGGTAATTCCGAAACTTCTGATGAAAGAATTCAGAGTCAATGGCATCCGGGTCCTGAGTCAAGTCACTGTCTAGCTCATACAGATCTGGGGCCCAAGACTTCTTGGGTCTGCTGTCGTAAAAGCACTTTGGAGGCAGCATTTCTCTAAGTAAAATTTTCAGTGGAGCAACCAAAATGAGTCAACAGGAAAGATGCAGCAGCCTGTGACAGTCAGTACTCGGGGACCTGCAGATCGTAAGGAGATATACACATGGCCCACAAGTTGAGGACTCAACAGTGGTATAGGGCTGCCCTACGAGGGGCATCAACAATGTTTTTGTGAACAGGCCAAGGGGGGGAGAGAAGCATAAATCCCCCAAGACACAGACACAGGACGCAAGTTACAGGCGTGACTTCTGGGCACCACACAGACTGAAGGAGTTAGCTCCACTACTAACTAGTTTTGTGACCCTGGGCAACTTACTCAGCATCCTGGAGCCTGTCCCCATAACTACAGATAAGGAACAGACCCACCTCCCTTTCAGAACTGAACTTTCCATAAGCTAATATACCTAAAAGCCCTCACTACCCACACCGTGTTAGTGCGCAGCTCCACGGAACGGGATGGCAGGCACCATCATCTTCTCTTTGCTGACCAATTTCTCTGCACTTGTGCTGCTGTGACACTGTGACCAAATTAAAATTCAATAAATTAAAAATTGAGCTCGTCGCAGTAACCATACCTCAAGTGGCAGTGGCTCCTGTACTGGGCAGCAGGCAACATCTCCACTGTCGTGGAAGTTCCATCTGCCAGAGTGACTATGCAGTGCCGAGGACATGGGCAAACCCATGTTAAAAATCATCTTTGGCCAATGGCCTGCGGAAGCACAGCAGTACCCAGGGAGAGGGAACATCCTGGCTTCACCTCTATGCCACTGTGTCCAAAGTGTATTCTGGGGTCACTCCCCCATCCCACTTTACACCTGCCCCTTCCTGGACAACCACTTGGGAAAGCACTGGTAGGTTTTACAACAGGGCCTCCTGCACTGGGGGAGAATTAAGTTAAGTACTGGTGAGTCCACAGGAGCCCCACACAGGTGCTAATGTGACGAATGGACCAACAGGCCCCTTCATGCTACTACACCTGCCTTTGCCTCGATCAGTCCTGCAAAGATCTACCTTATCTATCTTGAAAGAACCAGCTTTTGCCTTTGGTAACCTTCTCCACTGTTCCATTTATTTGTGAGTCGGGTTTACTTTTAACACTAAGGACTCTTCTACTTCTCAGACAGTGTAGAGCTGACTTCCTATCCTTTTTTACTCTCACACAACCAAGGAAGACTATGCGTTTCCCACTGACACCACTTTACTTGCACGTAAATTTTATTATGTAGCCTTTTTACTACTGGCCAGCCACAATTGGTGCTAAGTAGGCAACATATAAAAACAAATCTTTCTTCTTCTAGAGAAGAAAAATCACATGCAGCAAAACCACCTGCTTTTGTTTTGAAAAGAAAGCGAAGAGTCTAAAGTTAAGTTGTTTTTTAAACATCTAAAGAGAAAAAAGGGTGTTTTAATTATTCAGAGTCTCAAATTAGACTTTAACATTTGGGAATAAATGCTGTAAATTCAGTCCCACACTCTCCTTGCTCAGAGGGCTGCACTCCGCTCCCATGCAGAGTGTCCTCTCATTGTCTCCCCTAGAGCTTCAGCACCAACCTGGTAACCTGATCCCCTCTCCCTGCCTGCCCTGCCCTCCTTCAGGAAGAGGTGTGAGGGTAGAGAGGAGGGCACTAGATGACACCCTGCAGGGCAGAAGAATTACAGAGCAGGAGAAAAGGGCATGGGTCCCGGCTCTAGAACACTATAGTGACATTTTGGACAACAGCACAATTTTACCCCGGACTTGGCTCAGAGAGATGGCCCCTGACAAGAGTGGAGTCCTCAAAAGCCGGTATGCCTCCACAGGAAAGAGGGGAGAGCACAGAGCCCATGCCTGCCCTGTGGCATCCAGATTCAAGAGAAAATTCAGGTCTCCTACATGACACCAGCCCAACCTCTCAGAGGCAACAGGACACGCTCAGGTACGTAAATCACCTGTTTGGGAACAGGATCCTTTCTGAAACTTCAGAACAAGCCACTATGCACAGGAACAGAGTCAAAATGCCAGGGACCTGCAGACATTTTAAAGAAAGAAATAAGTGACAATAAAACAGAAGAAATGTAAAAAGAATGTCAGAGAATTCTCTCTCGAAATGGCTGTGGGTATCATTAGGGGTGAGGCCTTTCATATCATCTTCAAGAAAAGGCCAATTCCCATGTCACATAGACAAACCAACCAAACAAAAAGCTTTCAATTTTTTTTTTATGAAACCAGAATTCAAAAACACAAAACGAAGATTAGCACTAACAATCTGCCAACCAAATTCACTTATGAAAGCAGGCGGAAAAGTGTGAACACTATTATTACTGAACATCATTCTAGAGTTCTAACCAATCACAAGAAAAGAAAAACAAATCTGAGGCATAAAGAAAGGCATAAAACTATTACTCTCTTATGTGGAAGACTGTGCACTCAGATATTATGAACCAATGGAGACAGATCTTACTAATTTAATAACTACTTGTAATAGACTCCTTAAATATGCATCAAACAGAAATAAAAACAAAATTTTTAATAGAATGTTATGTTCTATGTCTCCAAGAAATTCTGTAGCTTTATTTTCTGATTACAAATACAAAAGATAGTACAACATTCAAACGTTACAGAATATTTAATGCAGGGGCAAATGTGTTGTTCTCAATGAAATGAGACCACCCTAGGAGTTCCACTGTGTTTATTTCCATATGTACTGGTATGGGAAGGCAGTAATTTATGATGGCTTCGTTCCATACCAGTACATACGGATTTACATCACTCTTCCTAAAGGCCTCTCAGTATCCCAGTCTCTGGATACACTGATTTATTTAAATGCAATGGTGGAAACAGCTAAGGTTTAAAAAAACGGTTAAAACATCACTTCCTGAATACCCTCTCGGGCCAGGGCACCACTGACGGGACTGCAGATCCTCACCTCACTGACAGCTGTTCTGTCTCCTAGTTCATGCAGAATTCTGGCCACATGGCAAACCCATCACCTTCATTTCAGGGAATGGGGGGGGCTCTCACACCCCAAGTTACTAAAGCTTCCACACCCCTCTGATCCCTTTGGAGCAGAAATTCTAGTGAGAGTCAAGTAGCCACCACGGGCAGGATTTTAAAAAGTCTGACTATATTTGGGGGACAAAGGTGGGGACACACAGGGACCCAGTCCAACCCTGGTCCTAATGGCCAAGAGAGGCCATTGATTCCAAAGGGAGGAAAGGAAAGAAGACAAATGATGGGCAGCAGTAATGAAGTCTCTCTCTCTCTACATGGGCAGGGGTTGCAGTTTCTCAATATTCTTCTGTGGTGTGTGGTATATGCACTGCATGTAGCGTCACACACGCGCTGGACGTCTGGGAGCCTCGGGACAGTATCGCTGCCCGCTGGAAACAGGGNGGTATATGCACTGCATGTAGCGTCACACACGCGCTGGACGTCTGGGAGCCTCGGGACGGTATCACTGCCCGCTGGAAACAGGTTTGCCACTGTGGTTTATGGGGTGGTCCTTATACCATTTGAATACTTTATTACACTCCATTTCTATTTCATAACAGTGAGAAAACAAAAGCATGGGTTTCACAAGAAAGATGGAATTCATCAAGCATCCCTGTCACCAGGGGGTCAAGGCTGAAGCCTCAACTGAACTGGGAAGAACTCCATTAAGGGACACGAGTCCAAGGTGGCAAGCGTGGCTGGGACGTGTGAGGAGAGACAGAGAAAGTCCGTGACCCACTGCCTGACAGACCTCAAGCTCCCATGTCCCATCAGTGGTGAGAGACATTCCTTGGTATCTCCTGTAGCCCGGTTTCTACTTCCTTACTCTGGTCCCTCATCATGGTGCCCCTGGACTTGCCCCTCACTCCTTCTACCTACCTCATCAAAGGGACTGAAACACAGGCAGTTACTGTACTGTCTTAGTTTTCTCAGAGACAGCATGGTGTGAGGTCTTTTCTCTCTCCCGGTTTGTACCTTTCTGCCTCTCTGCAGACTACACACGAAGGAAATGGTGACCAGCTGCAGTCCTACATCACATCCCAGGGTAGGAATCGACAGTGCCGGGCTAATCAGTCAGTCCCTCCATACACCCACACTCCCCAAGTCTCTGAGTGCACACCACAGCCCCACTCCTTCCAGGGCAGTGGCCTCACACTTGGAGATGACTTCAGCACTTAGGAGAACTGCACATGCCTTTCCAGTATGACAACATAGAAGGCTGGTGGTTCCCCAGGGAAGAGCCATTCCAACAAACACTCCAGGAGCTGTATGTACTGTGAGAACCACTGCTCCAGGCTTAGGTGTCACCTGGTCCAATCAACTATGGACAGGCACATATGGATAAGAGGGGCTGTTGGGGTAACAATCTTATGTGGGAATGTGAGCAAATAGTAAATGACCACTGCCCAACCACACTAGCCACAGCCTCCACCCTCTGGTCTGTGAGGCAGCTCCTCACTCTGGACTCACTTCTACCACTTAAGCTTAGCACTTACTACACCACAGAAAAACTTCCTTATTTTTCTCCATTCCTGACGTGTTTCCCTGAATAGACCTAATATGAATGGGTTGGGGACACCACCCACTACCTTGCAGGCCAGTGCTATTAAGGTTTGTCCAAGTGCCCTTGTTCTGATTCCATACTCACCAAGCAACCTTCTCATTATGGTTTCATTTCCTATGTAGGTCTGCCTACAGGGAGAGGATATGCTGATCGTACATACTTTTGAGTATCTGGGTGTCTGCTATAGTGATCTCCCACCATAAATCAATAAGCCAAAATTGAGTGCGCTGTTTTTCCACATAAACTATTATGTCAGTATGGCAATGTAAGTCCCATGAGTTTCATGAATGGGGATCTATCAACATGAGTCCTTAGGCAAAGGTTTCTGAGTCTCCACAGGCTTGAGCACTAGACACTGTATACTTGGAGCTTAACATCTGTCCCTGGCTTTCTCAGGGAGGCCCTATATGCCTCTCCTACACTAAGATAATGGCCGGTAGTGAATGTTCTCTTTGAAGACATACGTCTCACAATTACTTTTTCAAAGTCTTTCATTACTCAGTACACTATGGGTTCCAGGGAAGCACTTCCTTTCCCACTTGGGGCCATGTCTAATAAATGAATAATGAATCTCCCATGCTTCTTTAATCACCCAGTAAAAAAGAAAAAGTGGATCTGAGGTAGTAGCTGAGTGTTGGGAAAAGAGTTAGGACCCTGAAAAGGATGGGATGAGGCCACGGAGAGCTGCTGGTAAACAAAGGATCATCAGAAGAGTCCATAAATTCTCAGAGAAAACAGTGTATGGCCGTAAGGATGGAATGTGTGCGCCAGGACAAGGAAGGATGTGCTCACTCCAAGGATGAGTGTAGCACTGTGAGAAGGGAATTCAGCTCACCTGGACTCAGCCACCTAGCGTTTGGACCTAGTCCCTTTTTCTCTTGCCAGTCCTCTCCAAAAGGGGTAGAAGTTCGAGAAGGCAGAGCTGGAGAAGGAAAGGAAAACATGAGACACTACATCTACTTTGCAATTCTCGATTCCTCCAGCTGGAAATGACCCCACAACAGCTGTACCTTTATTTCCTACACGGGCACAGGTCAAAGGAGAGGAGGAAAAACAGCTTTCCCTCCCAGGACAGCAGGGCCACATGGGCATTGCTCTTGGAGGCCCATGTTATACCCTGGGCTGTAATCATAGCCTTTCCCAGTGAGGCTATGCCAATGGGTGTGCAATCTCCAGAGGTCTTAGAAGCTTCTCTAATAAGCAAAGAAAACTAATAAGACACAGGGCTTTGGATTATATCAATTTAAGAATATCACTTTCCACTTATAAGCTACATGGCACTGGCCACTCTCTAAAGGCAAGGGACACATGTTGCAGGTTAAAAACTGGAGAGAAAATGGCCAAGAAAGTACTATTATTTACTGCTAGTCACATGCTCAGTCCAGCACTTAGCACCTTACGTTTATTGTCTCTGTTGGTCATCACCATAGCAGTATTCATTTTCTAGCTCTCATTTCAAAGAAAAGCAACAGAGGCTCTGAGAACTCAATCTCAGAGCTCATGCAAACTACTATAGATAAACCTAATGTCATTTTGAAAAAAACAGTACACCTACTGGTATTTCCCAGGGACACCGTGTGGAATAATGACATAGGTATCCCTTAGAAAAGTGAGGTGAAGCTCCAGCTCTGCCCTTTAATAGGCTGTCACCCAGGGTCAGAAATTTAACTCTACTGCAAATGTAAGTACTATGAAGAGACCAGCTTCTATTAGGACCTTAATGCTAGTTTCACCGTTATTAAGTAATGGTATCATCACTTAACATTTTATAGGTTCTCAACATGCTCCCAGTGGATTAACGTTTCTCATTTCAAGTCCCTCTGTCTCAGAGCATGCATTCCAGCAGAGGCCCCTGGGGAAAGCGCAGTCGTGCTATGGCTCTGGCTTATGTTAATGTTATCAGTCATCAGCGGATGTATAATTTAAAATAAAATCAGAGTCGGAAACTGCAGTCCTCTGGAGGACCACGGAGAGCGCCAGGAGGGCTCTGCGCAGGCGTGGCCTCTGCCCCG